TTGTTAAAAAATAGCCGTTTGTAATCTGAATCATAGATTGGTTGCTTAAACCTGGATAGCTGAACTAGTAATTCTCCGGTCACCAAGTAAATCTCACATTTAACGGACTCAATAATTATTCATAATAATGAATAAATATGATAATTATAATAAATCATACAATAATTAATGTATAATTATGATGATTACGTTATGAATTATTATATATATTAAAGATATATTACTTAATATATTGCATATATCTATATAATAATTATATTACTAATTAAATATTATTGATATTAATATATAGTTATTCATCACTTGAAATCGCCGTAATACTAATCGTTGTCAAAACTGTTAGGAATACTGAACCGTAAAGAGAAACCTTAGACATAAAGGTATGTGCACATACATCATCGTCAGTATAATCACTTAAATGAAATGTCTACTAACGGCACTATAACCGGTACCCAGCACAGAATATTCCTCGACCTCTGTTACTGTAAACTGCAAAACGGTTAGAAACCATAGGATCCTGTCGTCTTTCCAAAGTCTACTGTGGGAAAATTGGATACTCGGGAATATTGTTCGATCACAAAAAGCGTTATGCAACTCGTGGAAAATACTACGAACAGTGATCGAGTGCGATCAGGCGTCTTTATGTAATCTAACTTGAAGAACATTTATAACGAAAATGTATAAAACAGTATGCGAAACAGAAACAATCGCTCGATGGACATAGATGGTTTTAGCTTCGATTATTTTCACATCTGAAGTCATTTTTAAGTCAATTGCTTTTATTCATCCACCTATCCAGATTACATCTTCTCACGAAATTTTCATGCATCTTAAATCATCATGGAACTCCATCAATAACTTTATATGCAATATGCGGCAACTGATCGACTGACTGACCTACTTGCGCATTCCATGCATCGATTGGTAGACATTTTCACATTGAAACTGTATTTATGTAAGTATCAAAAGTATATTTCACGAATAGAATTCGGCAAACGCTTAACAAATGTGCCCAATGCCAGGGAGGAACATTTGAATCACTACAGCTTACATCAAATAATAAATCGTACTAGACCAACTGGTTCATTTTATTTAACTACAGAGATAGCTTGCTGATAGATGACGTCCCTAAAATCATTCTGGATGGAGACTAGTTATGTAAATATATTGTGGTGTTCACTTAGCAGATAATATGTTCAAGAAGAGAGGAAGTTACTTAAGATGATGATTGACCAACATTTTGAATTTTCGTTCTTAGTTTGATTCAACGTAAAACTAAATTGCATTCACAGTTATTTTGATCCTCTTTTTACAGTTATCTATGGCACGAGCTTCCCGTAGGAGCATTTTACACTTATCTCGCATTCCAATAATTAATTGACAGAAAACAAATTTGTGGATGGTGTTCATCTGAAACCAAATGTTCCAGTGCCACCTCACGAAGCACATTTGAGCATTGGTTCGTGAAATGGCACTTTGTGAAATGTTTCAAAGTCAAATTCACAGTTTTTTATGGGCGATTTAACAAAGTTAAAGCTTATCACGCCCCGTAGGATTTTTACAGAATCTTTTGAATGCCTTCACAAAGAGAAAGTAACCATGATAATAATATGCATGATCACTCACGGATGTTGCAATTTTAAGTGTTCCAATGCTTTATCAAGTTGCGGTTTGAACATTTCAACTGTAGGAGTACACACTAGATCAGGTGGGAGAGAATTCCATACGTCGCACACTTTGACTGCAAAAGAGTAATGCCAGCGATCAAGGTGACTGTCCTGGGTCTTCAACTTAATTGGGTCTCATGAGGTGATCATTTTGAGATAAAGTTAGTGTAGAATGGTAAGGGTGCTTGGGTTTATACATTACGTGATATGCCAAGATCAGGTCCCTCCGAAGTCGACGGTATCGAGATGAGTAGAGCCTCAATATTTGCAGTCTTTCGGAGTATGTCTTGTTGTACAGACCTTTCACCAATTTTGTTGCCTTTGCGGACGCTCTAGAGCCTTGTTGCGGTTCAATCACGGATTCCATACTTGAACGGCGTACTTCGTGTGTGGCCGAACGAACGCTGATAACAATCGTGGGAACAGTGCTCTTTCGAACTGCCCAAAAACACGTCTGAGTAGTCCAACTTGCTTTAAAGCTATGGATGATGCTCCAGCACAGTGCATGGAACATCCTACATCCTCCTGTACTATAAATCCCAAACCCCTTTCATCAGTGGCATGCGGTAGTATTTAGTTCCCCAGAACATAGGAGAAACTATTTTTGTGCCGCATGGAAATAATTCTGCATTTGGAAACGTTGAACTGGGTGTCAGTGGCGTGCTATATAATCCTCTGGATTTGTTACAGCTCTTCAGATCTGTGTTCTCCGCAGATAGCAGTGTATTGGACCCAAGGGCATGTGGTAGGTGGTTTTTAAATGCAAGAAAGAGACGAGGCCCAGTACGGATTCTTGAGGAACCCCATGGGCAGCGGTGATAGGCTCCAATAATGAATCACCAACACGGATTTAAATGGTTGTTTGTCGGACAAACTCTTTGGTGCGATCCAGAACCAAACCTCTCACTCCATAGTTGTACAGTTTTCACAGTCGAACTTGATGGTTTACTCGATTAAATGCTTATAAGTCCAAATAAACTATATCCAATGGCTGGCTTGCATCGACGGATTTTGTCCACTCATCTCGTGCACGAAGTAGATTTGTAGTGCACGAACGCTTTTGCCGAAATCCGTTCTGAGTTGGTGACAAAAGCTCAGGCTTCTCCAGATACTCGAACGCTTAAAATAAAGTTCTCGGATTTTCTATTTAGAGTTCAACTGCAATTAAAACGTCCTCATTCTGCAATAAATTAAAGGCGGCAATGAAAAAGTTACTTATCACAAAGATATGAGTTGAAAATGATCATACTCTAAACGGAATGGGCATGCTCCACAGATGTGGAAAGCAGAGATCCTCTTAAAGAAAGAATAATATGTGATCTATTACCAGAGGATTACACTTGTTTCATTTACTGTTAAAGTCCATCTAGAGAGACAGTGATTCACCAAGAAAGAGCCAAATTGCACACGCACACTTGGTTATTGGATACAATTCACGGAAAATTTATTTGGAAGTGAGTTGTCACACTCTGCGTGGCCCTAAACTGCCAATCTCAGCTCACCGCTTATGTTGCTTCTAACATGACTGTTTGGGTTTTCCAAATATCCCCTATGATGATGTGAATTCTCACCGGGTCTAACCGGATCACGACCGGTTTTTTTATTGAGAAGGAACTTTGAAATTGTCACAAATACTGTAAAACGCCACTAAATAAAACAGTGAATATGAATGATTAAAGTTTCTGCATTGTATAACAGTATGCTTATTTGCTCAATTACATTAAATTCCTATCACTTTTGGTATAATCCTGTTTGTATAAATTCATACATCTGAATGCAAGTTACATTTTTAAGCATATTTCGTGAAGCTGTCTAAAACCCGACTATGAGAAGATCACTAACTTCCACGGGGTAAAAACCCAACAACGGGTACCGGCTAAACCACTGTTCAATGTGTTCTGTACTAGCTGGGCTACTGGGCTGCTCCTAACATCTTAAACCCTTCATCTACCCAACTTGCATAGGCATACATAGACACACACCTGATTGCATGTAGATCGAATGTTGTTTTGTCTGTATCAAAGGTGGGACGCAGCCGATCTAGCCCGATTCATTAAATTTTATCGTGTTACTTTTGATTGAATTCATTTCATTTCATTAGACGTTGCTCATGATTTCACTTCCAGGGTAGATTACTTTTAGTTTTAACTCTCCATGGCAGTGTTCGGAAAAAGTAATTGTTCGAATTACCCATGCGTAAGAGAGAGTATTTAATGTCAGTTAGCCTAGCACCGACCTGATTGTACGTACCCCAGCGAAGTTGTGAGCTTCGATAATTTTCACGTACGTTTTATTTTGTTTATTACATTCCGCCACATTCGTCTGTATCACTCTCAACAATAACATTATATCTGTATCTCGGAAATGGGAATACTGAATCCTCTCATAACCAGTATATGTTCTGGCTTTCATCTTTCTCCATTTAACCGAACGCATGCCAACAATCACGGGGATTGGATGCCTACTTCAATCCTGTGAAATTCGAAATTCAGCTGACCGATATTCTCCGCTGTCCAGTTATTAAATTTGTCGGTTACATTGTATCGTATGTGACGTTTCTCATTCTAATCACGGTTGCAACATTTCGACTGGATCGGAGTTACCTATCGGAAGAAGATGACGACTGGGAAATGCGATCTGTGGAGATTTGGAGCTATGATTTTCGTACAAACAACCTTGTCATGACCAAGATACAGATCATTCTATTATTTTGGATTCTTGGTAAGTGTATATGCAATGAGACCACCTAGCATTGTTTGAATAAATGGCACACTAATAGGTAGGTAAACAGATAAGCGGATGGGTAAATACACTGCTAGATGACAATCTTGTTTCATTGCTTTGTTGTTGTTGCTGCTGTTGCTGTTGTTATTGTTGTTTAATGTTAATATTATACACATTAAACTCTATTAATTGTTACAGTTTTCAATCGCTTAAGGTTAAATTTGACCTATTGTATTTTACACTGGTTGGTTACTTATGCTTAACATGTATGCATCTAATCGAACTGTGTAATAAACAGCGAGATCCTAATTACAGTGACGAAACGTTGGCAAGTTGCTGGACTCTGATGACTCATTTTTAAATTTTACTGAAAATGTAGTTTTCATGTCCTCATTTTTCTTGTTGTTCGTATAACTCTTGTTCAGGTCAAGCTGAGTCTCACGTGCAATGAGCGAATCTGCGTCATCCTCAAAACTCAGGTATTCGGAGTTTACCGCATTCTTAGGCCACCACTCTTACACTTTTCTCTTTGCCGATCTTTTTCACTCACTCTCATATCCCCTCACTCTGACGGTTTTCTGACCCTATTTTCTTACAGGACAACTGGGAATGGAATGTAAGCAGGTTTACCACTACGGTCTGCGTTACTTTTTCCGCAGTTATTACAACTTTATGGATTGGGCTGCCATTGCGCTCTACCTAGCCTCTTACTCACTGCGGATCATTGTGGACTTTAAAGTTCAGTCCGCCTTGTCGCTCTATCGAAGTGAGTTGCGTGTGGCTCAGGGATTGTTGGCCAACGCGACTTGTGCACAGAGTCGACAGTGCCCGGATCTGGGATCGAACACACATCACCATTATGTGGCTTATCGGAACCAAATACTCAGTGCCACCTCTGCCTACTGGTTACGGGGATGTAAGTTGTGTCCCGAAACCCAATTTTTTTATGATCCCCGGGTTAAAAGCTTTTATGATTTCCTCTTCAAGGGAAATTTCCACATTGATCTTATATTCACGTTTATTTTTTGTCAGTTGATAAAAACCAATTACGTGCATGTGGTTCAACTTGGGGTTATTTTGTGAATAAACTTACGGTGTGTGATCGATTTTCGTCTGATTTTACGATTCTATAAACAATTGGACGAACACATTTCGGAAGGCTTGTCTTTTCTGTAGAATAAGCTTTTTGTCGGGAAATCGTTTTTACTTATTTGATCACCAGAACACGATGGAAAACTTGTTACAACAATATTAAAATCGGTTTAAATTCCATTACCCTTAAGTAGCAGACTACAGTTATGAATAATTATAACAAGATATTGTACAGCTTTTATTCATCACCTTTGAAGAAGAGCACTCAACAGAATTCAACTCTTGAAATGCATCGGGTGTTGCTATCTAGGAAAGTACCGATAACGGCTTATTTAGCATGACTCTGGTTTCGCGTGCTAATCTTTCATGATCTGATATCTATCCGTAAGAGTTACATGCCGAGATCTTTGAGTAACTCAGGACCAGTCTTCTTCAGCGAATGCCATCATACCATGAAACAACAACTAGTTGTTTTATGTGATGGTAAGCCTGATCATAGTGAATGTGTTGTCACTTAGTTCACCAATCAACCTGTTGAGGTTACCGGTGGATACTGACCAAAAGGAGTAAACCCTAATGGCTACGGGATGTTCATTACATAATAACGGGTAACGTAAAATGAAGTTTATATCATGAAGCCATTCGCAACAGTATTCACACATCAAACGAATTGAGGATGGTAAATAGAATACAAAAACACATCTAAATTGGCAACCGGGTACCTCCGTAAAAAGCGGCACTTTATCTATGCAAAATTAAAAGAGCGGACAAAATTAAAATAACCATACGAACGACCTCGGATATTCACTTGACTGTTATGTTATTCTGTACGATAAATGGTTTGATATAAACTCTTTTCACTACCACAAAAGATTTTCCTCAATCACTTCGTTTCAAGCAGCACTGAAAATGTAAAATAAGCAGATAAAAACGTGATAATACATCGATTTTTCCCGACGAAATTTGTGGTGTTCCTTTTTCGTTTGTCACGATCTGCGATGAAATGGACAATCCCATAAAATATCTAAAACCAGACGATCACGATACTTTCCTATCGCTAAGGATAGCGATAACATCACCACCGAAATTCGATGGAGACACGCCATCATATTGGTGTTACGATCCTGTGACATAAAACTGTCGGAGCATGCCGGTATTAGTTACGGGCAATTATGTCCCACGAAGCGGGAAAGCAGCACCCAATATTTTCCCAATATTTAGCTATCCTTTTATTTTGAATTGAATGTGTGAAACTTACAAACAAAACTCTTAAAGAAACGATTTTAAAGCGCTTTAAACACTGGAATATAGAAAGAAGAAATAACTCGATAGACAAGAATTTTTATGCATTCAAGCAGTTTATATCGTCAAAATGATTCAAGTATGATAAAATTAGTGAATCATGTAGTGTATTTAAGGTCTATTTTAGGAGATATTTTACTTAATACGGCGTTTCCTTCAAGATACCGACGAACCTTGAAATAAATTTGGGGAGTAGATAAAATCTGTCGCTGGTAGGAATTTGTTTGCACTGCAAGCGTAGCGTAGAAATCCTTAAAAAGTACTTCGAGCGACCGTTCAATTTTACTTGTCAGATATACTTATTTTCGTAGTTATCTCTCTCCTCCCCCCGTTGGAACAGCGATGCAAAAATGCATCGTTTATGCTCCACATATTAATTAAAACTGATGAAAGACAGAGGTTCGCTTTGATCTTCCTACAAAAACTGTTAGCAAAATGTTTAACCACTGCTGAACATATCCTCTTCGTGTGAAAATAAGCCCGCTTCTTAATCTGAAGTTGTTTCCCACTGGAACCGAAAGTTAGATATTTCTGATCAATGAGCGTTCCAATTCAAAAAATGATGATTGATTGCAGCTGACTGACTGTGCTGCTGACTCTGACTGACTGGCTGACTGACTGACTGACTGACTGACTGACTGACTGAATGAATGAATGAATGAATGAATGAATGAATGAATGAATGAATGAGTGAATGAATGAATGAATGACTGCCTGACGGTTGAAAAACTGGTGGAGCTAAAGCCAGCCTCGTTTATAAAATCGAATTGAATAAGCTTACTCTAGGATATTCATCGTGATTTGCACTGCCTGGTAATCAAAATTTTACGGTTATATCCTTACAGAAGTGAACGTTTTGATCAACCCGGCTTTAGACAGATGACCCTTCCTACAATCATGTTTCCTTATTATATAATCTATTCTCAGGCACTATATAAACCTTGTATTTGTCTGCAGTACTCACAAGTTGAAACCGTCCCAGACTTAGATCGTACGATGTTACTATACTGGCTTCTCTTTTCAAATAATACTATCTACCGAACGATAAATAATATGAGTTAAATGATCATAAACAGTAATAAGAGAGATCAAAAGAGGAAAACACTCATTTTTCCTTTTGGAGGTCGCATCCTTCAAACATGGAGTGGCATCTAGAAATGATGTTGATCTTACAGATTTACTTCCTTTTAAAAAGATTGGCTATAAGTGGTGCTTGATAAAGGATATCGGTAGTTCAAATTATCCCACTTCAACAAAGTTGCTCCCCAACCGTAACTGAACTGAATCAAACAAACCGGTGGAGCAAAATGCAGCAATTAGAAGACGACACGGTTTAGCAAATTTCGTCAAATGTAACTCGAAGCCGGCGAATTGCCTGACACCAGCATGAAGATAACCAACGAGGCTATCCAACAAAGACGTGAGTAGTTATGACGCATGTATATTGGCTATAAAAGTACGCTGAGTTCAATGGTAATTACACCACCAATTTGATGCACTTGTGATACCAATTTTGTTATATTGCTCCATAAACAGATTGGAGAAAATCACAGAAACTTCACAGGAGGAATGCAGTAAATTTAAAATAGCTTGTAGCAGATATGGGTTGGTTATTTTGATTATTTATTTATTAAAAACGTGTCACACAGTACGAGGCATGGTCTCTGCAGATTTGAGTATTATAGAAACCGCTATTGTTTGTTTAACCTGAAATTATTTGCGTAGAAAAGGGATGATTTATGCACATGGGCATCCTCCGCTTATTCTGTTCACGTCATGACTGAATGTGGTGATCAGTTGGACTGACGGTCGCTGAGGGTGTAATGTATTTTACTGTTCAAAGAAAACAAGTGGACACAAACGTGGTGCCTGAATTCCGTAAGCCACAGTTGCACAAATTACCCTAAACTAATTCGAGCAACTAGATGAAATT